TCTATGTTAAAGAAAAACCAACCTTAAACACAGGGGATGGAGTCAGGGTTCAGCTTTCAAAACCCATCTAGGGACTGTCGGGTTTTGCAGGCTAACAAATGACTTCTCATTCCTAAGGAGCGATTCTGTTTGTCCGGTTTGATTTGCATGTTTTCTAAGCCAAAACAAGGTTTTGTTTTTGGTCCACTCTCTAAAACCTCGAACTCAATGCTGTTTCTGATCTTTTTTATCGAAAAAGCTTCTTGTATGGACAACGAAACGTCGGAATGGGAAAATGCAAATTACAACAAAACGAGGAATTCGGGACTTGGCTGCAGCCTGTCCATGGCAAAGACGATGATGGATGTATATATATATATATATATATATATATATATATATATATATATATATATATATATATATATATATATATATATATATATATATTAGGGTTGGAACGGTTCACAAAATCCATGGTTCGGTTCGATTCACGGTTTCTGGTCACGGTTTTCAGTTCGATTCGATACATGTTGATTGTTACACTGAAATCCCATAAAAAATTATGAAAAAATCCCCCCAAAAATAATGGATTGTAATTATTTTAAATGATCCGCGGAAACCCTGGATCATTTCCATAAGTTTTGCTGCTTTGAATTTAATCATCTGGCGCATGCTCTCTAACCTGACAACAGCCAGATGCATGTCTTGCTCATGCATCTGGCTGTTGTCAGGTTACATGCTCTCTACCATCTCCAAGGAACTCAGAGGGGAGCAGACGAAGCCACAGTGGGGGCTGTAGGCTTTGCTTTGAGCATCCGGTCTGGAGCACAGCGGGGGTTGCTAACGGAGTATGAGGGATTTCGGGGTTAGCTTGACATGTTGCTGTTAGCATAAACAAAACGTGTTGCACAATGCTTGCACACTGTTGCACTTTTGTCCACAACTTTCTTTCCGCCGTCATCGTAGGTCACTCTAAATGCAAAGTGGTCCCATACAGCAGACCTATAAAGGGCTGCTGGCTCGTCTTCCAACTCCTGTTCTTTCCCACTCGCCATACCCACACAATTCTCCACAACAACTGATTTTTTTTCCCTGCTACACCCGGCTAAGCTGCTTCGCTTCTTCTTCTTCTTGTTTACTACTGGCGGTTGGCTTTGGTCGCAGTACCGCCACCTTCTGCTCTGGAGTGTAATCGCATCCTCAATGAGAAAAAGGAGCAGCGCATGAACCGAACGAAACACACGGGAACCGAACCGAGACAGTCGAACTGAACGATTCTGACGGTTTTCATAAATCGTCCCATCCCTAATATATATATATATATACAGGTGCTGGTCATAAAATTAGAATATCATGAAAAAGTAGATTGATTTCAGTAATTCCATTTAAAAAGTGAAACTTGTATATTATATTCATACATTACATACAAACTCATATATTTCAGATGTTTATTTTGTTTAATTTTGATGATTACAAATGACAACAAATGAAAATCTCAAATTCATCATATCAGAAAATTAGGATATTGTGAAAAGGTTCAAAATTGATGGCCCCTGGTGCCACACTCTAATCAGCTAATTAACTCAAACCACCTGCAAAAGCCTTTAAATGGTCTTTCAGTCTAGTTCTATAGGCTACACAATCATGGGGAAGACTGCTGACTTGACAGTTGTCCAAAAGACGACCATCGACACCTTGCACAAGGAGGGCAAGACACAAAAGGTCATCGCTAAAGAGGCTGGCTGTTCACAGAGCTCAGTGTCCAAGCACATTAATAGAGAGGCGAAGGGAAGGAAAAGATGTGGTCGAAAAAAGTGTACAAGCAAGAGAGATAACCGCACCCTGGAGAGGATTGTGAAACAAAACCCATTCAAAAATGTGGGGGAGATTCACAAAGAGTGGACTGCAGCTGGAGTGAGTGCTTCAAGAACCACCACACACAGACGTATGAAAGACATGGGTTTCTGCTGTCGCATTCCTTGTGTCAAGCCACTCTTGAACCACAGACAGCGTCAGAAGCGTCTTGCCTGGGCTAAAGAGAAACAGGACTGGACTGCTGGTGAGTGGTCCAAAGTCATGTTCTCTGATGAAAGTAAATTTTGCATTTCCTTTGGAAATCAAGGTCCCAGAGTCTGGAGGAAAAGAAGAGAGGCACTTCATCCACGTTGCTTGAAGTCCAGTGTAAAGTTTCCACAGTCAGTGATGGTTTGGGGTGCCATGTCATCTGCTGGTGTTGGTCCATTGTGTTTTCTGAGGTCCAGGGTCAACGCAGCCACATACCAGGAAGTTTTAGAGCACTTCATGCTTCCTGCAGCTGACCAACTTTTTGGAGATGCAGATTTCATTTTCCAACAGGACTTGGCACCTGCACACAGTGCCAAAGCTACCAGTACCTGGTTGAAGGACCATGGTATCCCTGTTCTTAATTGGCCAGCAAACTCTCCTGACCTTAACCCCATAGAAAATCTATGGGGTATTGTGAAGAAGAAGATGCAATACACCAGACCCAACAATTCAGAAGAGCTAAAAGCCACTATTAGAGCAACCTGGGCTATCATAACACCTGAGCAGTGCCACAGACTGATCGACTCCATGCCACGCCGCATTGCTGCAGTAATACAGGCCAAAGGAGGCCCAACTAAATACTGAGTGCTGTACATGCTCATACTTTTCATGTTCATACTTTTCAGTTGGCCAACATTTCTATAAATCCTTTGTTTTTATTGGTCTTCAGTAATATTCTAATTTTCTGATATGATGAATTTGAGATTTTCATTTGTTGTCATTTGTAATCATCAAAATTAAACAAAATAAACATCTGAAATATATGAGTTTGTATGTAATGTATGAATATAATATACAAGTTTCACTTTTTAAATGGAATTACTGAAATCAATCTACTTTTTCATGATATTCTAATTTTATGACCAGCACCTGTATATATATATATATATATATATATATATATATATATATATATATATATATATATATATATATATATATATATTAGGGGTGGAACGGTTTACAAAATCCACGGTTCGGTTCACGGTTTCTTGTCACGGTTTTCGATTCGGTTCGGTTCAGTATATGTTGATTGTTACCCCGGAATCCAATAATAATTAATGAAATGAATGAAAAAATCAGTGGGGGCTTTAGGCATTGCTTTGAGCAGCCGGTCTGGAGCGCAGCGGGGCGGAGCGGGGCGGAGCGGAGGGGAGCGCTGACGGAATATGTGGGATTTCGGGGTTAGCCTGACATGTTGGTTGTGTTGCTGCTGCATAAACAAAATGTGTTGCTCAATGCTTGCACACTGTAGCACTTTTATCCACAACTTTCCGCCGTCATCGTAGGTCACTCTAAATGCAAAGTGGTCCCATACAGCAGACCTATAAAGTGCTGCTGGCGCGTCTTCCAACTCCTGTTCTTTCCCACTCGCCATACCCACACAATTCTCCATAACAACTGATTTTTTTCTGCTACACCCGGCTACGCTGCTTCGCGTCTTCTTCTTCTTGTTTACTACTGGTGGTTGGCTTTGGTCGCAGTACCGCCACCTTCTGCTCTGGAGTGTAAACGCTTCCTCTATGAGAAAAAGGAGCAGCGCATGAACCGAACGAAACACACGCGAACCGAACCGAGACAGTCGAACAGAATGGTTCGGACGGTTTTCATAAACCGTTCCATCCCTAATATATATACGAGAGTCATGGGTACTTGTTGATGGCATTATAATCTTTTCTAACAATGCGGCTTATCTATGGACTTTTACAGCTAACGGCCACTAGGGTAATACGGTACCTAAATCTATGGATTTTACCATCCACCATGTTGACGTCACATTTGCATCAACACACAAGTAGCCGCGCGCGGGAATGCGGACGTCCTCCGGAAGCAGACTCCGAGAAAGACGGACATTGCGAGTGCAACACAGTTTGTGTGACACCCTCATTATGGAAAACAAACGTTGAAATGCATATGATGCAGCTTTTAAGTTAAAGGCACTGCCTTTAAGGCAGTCAATTTGGCAGTAAACGAAGGAAATACAACCGCTGCACGTAACCTTGGAATCAACGAGTCAATGGTGAGACGTTGGAGACGCCAGCAGGAAGAATTGTCTCAATTCAATTGTGTTGAAAAAAAGTTGCCTCTTTCCCGACAATCCTCTCTGTGCACAAACCATATGGTAATTAAACATAAAAAACCTGCGGCTTATAGTCCGGTGTGGCTTATAGTCCAAAAATTACGGTATCTATCTTAATCAATCAAATCAAAAGAGTAGATTTGAACATAACAGATGACTTTGAAGTATGTCAAATGACCCTGATTGAATCACTACTCAAGTCTTGACTGGAGCTTCTTCAGCAGACAGATGACAAAACGGCAATGAAGCATCATGTTGATCCTGATGCCAACTTCAAAGATTACATTTCTGTTAATGCAATGAAAATGTAGTGTTTAACTATGGCTTCAAATGTCTCATCTAACTGTAGTTATTCCAGGACTGTCTGATAAACTGGGGGGGTCTGCGAAACGCTTTAAACAAACAGATCAGGTCAGGTTGTGAGTTGAACGCAGGGCTTTAGGAGAATTGCTGAGATGCTTGATTGACGCGTAATCTGAATTTGCTTTAAATATTGCCGTCCTGTTTGTCCTCAGCTCATTATTCACTCCTACATAGCAGAAAGGTGGTAAGTGTCAGTGCGCTGATGCATATCGCAGGAGTAAGTGCATCGCTAATGAATGGAAACAGCTTGCTTGCCATTCCACTCTGTAGTTGCCTCCATTGTCAAAACATGTTTGCATTTATCGCTGGGTTTAAGTTTGTTACTAGACGCAGAGATACTCAATCTGTGTAAAATCTGCGTTTTCATGCAGTTAAGCAGGAGGCTATGCTGGCTGTTGCAAAAAGCACGACAAATACGAGAAAAACTTTTGCTTTGCAAACTAATCATGACTCAACTGGCCTCTCAACTGTTTTCTGATGAGCAGTTATATGCGTTTCATTATCTCTGCAGTTGGACGGGCGGTCAGAGGGAGCTGTTGGTTCCAGAGAGAAGCTTCTGGAGTTTTGTTTTGACTACTGCTACTGGTCTGTGGACCCTGCAGACCCTCACTATGCATCGCAGGAGGAGGTAACAAACTTTCTATAAAGACTAGCTCCAATAAAAATAGGTGGCAGGGGATAAAACTGGTATTCTTCATGGAAAAATCCTATTAAAGCATGTTATTAACTGTTAATCCTGATAGATCTGAGTTAGGGTTAAATCTGCTACATATTTGAATACAAAGACCTGCAAACTTCAGTTTTAATGGAATATTCTGTGCTAAAGCAAACACAGTTGAAAAATGTTATTTTCTATCTAATAAACTCTGGAAAGTGTTTCATAACATTGTATTCAATGCTTCATAGGAGCACATTTTGCTATATTTGCAGCTGCGTGTTTGAAAGTTTTGTTTTTATCACTTTGCACACAGGTTACATTCACACTGCAGGCCTTAATGCTCAGTTCAGATATTTTTTTGTGTGAAATCCATTTGTTTTGCTTGGTTGTTCACATTTATAAATATATGCAACTTGTATGTAAAATGTACAAGATCCTCAGATCTCAGGTAAGCAGTTATCAGGTCTCTGAAAGAAAAGCTGCCAGTTCCTATGACCAATATACTCAGCACTGGAGAGAAAAACGTGACAGCAGGATTAATCACGGGATCGGTAGTATCCTACGTGATCCTTTATTTCCCATGAGCCATTGCAGGTCAACACTGATGGGTCAGCTCGGACAGAAATGGTGGACGATGGCGGCAAAAATGGGAGTTAAAAACCAATATATTTATAAATACTTTGTAAGATCCAAAATAAACATTGAAGGTGCTTTTAGGAGAGAATGTCTCTTTGTTAAACTCGAAAATCTGCCCAGATCTTTTAGATTTTTAAAAAAGAGCTCCAATATTTTATGATACCTGAGAACTGATAACATTTTTCTTGAGAACAAGAAGGACTGAACTTTTCCTGAGAACCGATCATGCTGAAAACGTACCCCAAACTCCCGTGAGTGTCCCGCATGTGCAGGAGAGGACGTAATGATGTCACAAGCGAGCGTGCTCTGTGTTTACGGAAGTAAACATGGATGGTAGAGCTGGGGCGCATCTAGCAACCTTTCATTTCTTTTCCACCCTGAGCCAGCACATTAACAACGCAATCTTTTCAAGAAGATAGAAATGCTCTCTGCATTATCGTCCACCATGTTTTTTTCCCTGCTTCTGCATTTCAAGATGCAGAATAGGAGCCTTTGAGTATTAATGATGTTCAGGTGGGATGAATGCGACATGGCTGTTCAGAAACAGGTCGCATTTGGGAAGATCAGATACGTATCGGATTAAGGACCGCATAGCCAAGTGGCGTCGGTCGCATTGGAATAAGATCTGTGTTGCTTAGACTGTCATGAAAAGTTTGATACAGGTTGCATGTGGTTAAAATGTCAAAAAAAGGTGGGAATATAGCTTTACCTTGAGTTTTACCCTTTTGTCAAATTGTGCTCATGTAGATCCAAGTTATTTGCTGCCCGTTAACCTCAGCTTTTAACTCCGGCAACACATTTCCAATTAGATCAGCAGTTTATTAGTTGTTTTCTGCAGCTTTTGTCAGACGTTATAATTTAACAGGCAGCTACAGCTGCCAACTGTCCCCAAAGGTGGTGTTTTGCATGTTTGCAAACTACGGTATTTAAATTATTAACTCATCTGACTAGAACACCTTCTTACAGGTTTTTCTTGTTTTATTAATCTAAATCTGCATAAAACCTCTCCATCTATTTCCTCCCACTTCATTACTTTGTGTTGCTAAATTTAATGCATTAAACTTTGTGGGTGTAATGTAACAAAATGTGGAAGAGTTCAAGTTTTTATGAATATATCTGCTCGGCACTGTAGTTGTGCTGCCAAAACATGCTTTTTTAAATATATTTTGCTGTCTTATTCTGTGCCCTGTTATGTCTGGAACCGTGTTGGTGCCAATCTGAACTCTGTCCACAAGCTGTCATATCAACAAACACATCTCATATCTTTTAAAGAGGCGCACAAGGTTCCCCATCCTAGTCTTGGCAGAAATACCAGGAAAAGGGTTGTGTGTTGTGCTGGTTTTACACAGATGGTCACTGGGGGATATGATATCAGCTCCATCTGTTACCCAGAAGTCAGTTTGCTTTAGAAGCTGCGTGTCTGGACTCACTAGGCTTTTCATGTCCTGGTTGTGATCGGGGCGATTAGATATCTTTGGGTGGCTTTGATTGGAGGGTGTTTCTGGAAGCTGAGACGGGGTGGAGATAAAGAGTGGCTAATTCTATCATAGCAAGTTTCTCCAGAGCCAATTTAAGCTGATGTTTTTTTTTTTTTTTAAACGTGGTAAACTTTGAACCAGTGAAACAAGTCGATGAAATGGTTTATCTTTTCTCCTTTGTTATTGGAGTTTACTCTTCCACCACACCCTCTCTGCTTGTCCCTTGTTGTGTTGGAGCTGCCTTTGTACGGCTTTAGAAAGAAATGACCTACACTGTGCAGGCAGCTACACTCCTCTCAGCGCTTCTTTTTATCCCCACCATGCTCTGGTTCTGGGTTCATCTGCCTCTGTCTTGAGCATGATCATGTCCACTCACAGCAGCCCGGTTGCCTGAAGGCATTCCTCTGATGACCCTGGGTGGGCGACAGAGCACCCATGGAGGACAAAGCTAGTGGATTTAAATCTGACCTCTTTTCCTGCTCCAAGAATTGTCTCTTTATTGACGGATCCTCCATGCTAGTACGTCAGATTTATCCAATAATGTCAGAATTGCATATTTCTCTGGTTGGTGACGGATGAATATAAAAACAGAGTAAATAATTTGGGGAAAAAAAGCTTATTTTATTGTGGAATGACGCAGCAGTCTAGGATATTTTCTAAATCATATTCTAAGAGGTAAAAAGCTTTTACTTCATATTTGCAACTATATTTCTGAAAACCTTTTCAACCTTTTCTGTCAGAAATTTGGGTTACGGGATCTTTGCCAAAAGCTTAAAAGACCTTTTTTTTTGTTTTTAAAAATTGTTCACCTTTTACCAAAATAGCTAATTTATTTTGATTTTCTTCTGCCCCCCAACAGAAAACAACAAAAATTCCCTACAGAGCATTTTTACAAGTGTACAAAACATACTCCTCTTTATCTTCATGGCCTTGAATTAGAGATGGACTTATACATCAGCGAGATGATATTCTGAGAATTTTTTTGTGTTTCTTGCAGCTATAATCGGACTTAAAGATTTTCCAGAGGATTTAGATCAGGACACTGATCGAAATAGTAGTTTTTTTTTTGTGCACTGCCCATTAAAAACCAAATAATACAGAGTTTGTAGCTGTAATAATAGACGTTTTGGCGAAAAATACTTTGTAGAGAGTAAGGAAGGTTAAAGACTTTTGCCAGGTGAAGAAAGCTGTTCTGGAAGGGAGTCAAGATCCATAATGGAAACCAGCTGTCACCTTAAAGCAGAAAAACAATTCACGATTGTTAAGCAATTTTAATATCTATAATGCTTTTCTATAGTGCCTAAAACAAGAAGCATTAGAAGGGAATTTAAACAAAAAGCGAGCAACATTGTGTATTTCTTGACTAATGCAGGAGGGACATAAAGGAGAGGAAATGGACAGGGGGTCCACATCGCCTCTGCAGCCCCGGGCTCTCGTTTGCCAAAGTCACAGCTGCCTCCTCAAGTTATCTTTCACAGTTAAATCTCAGTGTAAAGACGTCATTGCTAAGCTTGGAGCACTATTTTTTTTTTATCACTGCCAAATGAAGTCCATTTGCTGGGGTTTTTCCCCTCCTCCTCCTTCTTTCTGTCTCTCTGTCGATACTGTGCAAGATTTGAATTGCTCGCTCTGTTTCTAGGTCTGTGTGTCAGTGGCTCAGCAGAGTGGAGAAGAATAGTTTTTCTGTGTCCTGGAGTAATCTCTCATGCGCATGTGAGATTCAGCCCTCCTCGTCTCAAAGCTAGAGTGAAAGCCAAAACAGCATTTAGGCTGGTTGCAGTCAGAAACAAACAGAGTAGCAAATAAACAACAAGATGTCAGCAAAAAAAGAGATTTATGACCGTAGAGGTGATGTCGTGTGGTATCTATTACCAGGAATGGAGCGTTCTGTAAATATAACAAATATCACAAAAGTTTGTTTTCTAAAATGAGGAATAATGATTAAAGGGAACTCACATCCCAATTATCCTGAGTAGATAAACTAAAATCCCATAAAGTTTCATCCAAATCCTTGTATTTACATTTTTAATGGCACAGTTTTCTATGGGTTTCAAAAATCCAGCACATCTGCAGAACTTTTCTAGAAATACCTTTGAAAGAATGTGGTGCATTTGGGCTCAGTGAATGTTTAAGTTGTTCTGTTATTTTCCTGCTGAGAAATATTCTTCATTTGTGAGAAGTGTTATCACAAAGTAGAGACTATAATCCAAATTGATAGACTATAAGGAATCTAAGAAAGGGATCAGTGATTCCTGCATAGTGAGCAGAGGTCACAAATATTCCAAATACCGTATTTTACGGACAATAAGCCGCTACTTTTCCCCACGCTTTGAACCATGCGGCTTAAAACAGGGTGCGGCTTTTCTGTGGATTTTCCTAACACCCAGAGGGGGGAGTCACAGTTGGAAATAAATGATAAGGGGCTAATTTTAATTTTGCACAAGAACATCCAAGTAGCAGACACAACATAGTTTGACATTCATTTGCCAACTTAAAGCTGTCTAACCAAGGAAGAGTCCGGGCTCAACTCTTGCTGAGCTGAAATAAAGAGCCGATGAAGCCCCATCTCTCAGTAGAAGCTCTTATTGCTGTGAGCCAACAAGCTAACGGGAGCTAGCATTATTCCTTGTCCCTACTCTATTGGTGATATGTAGAACTCCCTCTACAGGTTTGATGGAAGGCAGTTCAGTAGTATCACTGGCTTATAGCCCAGTGCAGCTTATGTGTATGTTTCCAGTTTTTTTTCAAAGAATTTAGTGCGTGTAGCTTATAGTGAGGTGCGCCCTATAGTCTGGAAAATACAGTAGTCAATGGCCATAGACGTTTAAACCTCACCTTACTTGACAGGTGCAATTC